CAGGTCCTGGTAGGTCTTCAGGGACACAAAGACAAACACAATGGTGTGACGATGGTGAAGCCACAGATGCTGCCCAGAGCTAGCTAGCTGTCTGTCTGTCCGCCCGGAATAATGTCGTCTCCTCCAGCTCTATGTCCATCTGGGATGTTGTCATGGAGCCATGTTTCTGTTAAAGCAAACACACAACAGTCTTCCCACTCTCTGCAGACTTCTCTCAGCGAACGTAGCTCATCCAGCTTGTTGTCGAGGGGGCTGACATTGGAGAGTAGCAGCGATGGTCCTGCTGGTCTGGAAGGGTTAGCCTTTAGCATGGATCCTGGCTCTCTTCCTTCTCCTTTGTTTACGTTCATACCGTTTGCGCTTGCTTCTCTCTCGGGTAACTACCAGCGTAGTCTCCGATCAGACTCCGTGTCGGTGTAGTATGTCCAAATCACAACCGATCGCCGCAATTCCAGCGCCGTTCACTGTCCTGATGCCCAGCAAAGTCTCCCGGCCACAAGTTTTATGGAATGAACATCTGGGATAGAAAAGACACTCAAAACGTTCACTTTCGTTGTCTCCTGAAGTGGCCGCTGCGTCTATGCGCGCCGCCATCACCATGGCAACCTTTCTCTCCCGCTCCTGAAAAGAGAAGAAAAGAAGAGATGACACAGAAATATCACCCCTCCTTAGGGAATCTGCTGTACAACCGGATAGTCCTGGATGAGTCCTGCTTTTGGAAAACTCCTCTCAGGAATTTCAGAGCATCCAACAGTGCTTTTACTTAGCCTCTCTACTTTACATTTTCAGTCTTCCCCCTGAGCTCTGCACTGACTTTCTCAAATAGCTGTCAGGAATTGTTGATTTGTCTGTGGAGCTCCTGTCTGTTCAGTGTGGGATGTGCAGCTCCTTATCTGTCATCCCTGAAGCTGGCTTAAGGTCAGCCTTTAATTACTTCTCATCCCGTCCATCACTGGCACTGATACTCCCATCCGCCTGGCAGAGGCCGGGATCCAGATGGGCCTCCTAAAGCGCAAGACTTTTTTAAAATTAACTCAAAATGTAGGACACTTTTCTTTTTGTTCTGAGGATAAATTCTAAGCATTTACTTTGGCTTTACTTCAGATTTGGACCAGCAGATGGCTTGGGTTTACTGAATCAGGGCAATTGGGATAACTTAAGGCAACATGCCAAAAATAGAAAAGTAGTCCTATGTCTAAATTGCCAGAATTTTCTTGAACTTGTTGTATTGTCCTGTGTGGCATCTCCATAGTGCTTCCCGACATGCCAAAACATCCATCCATCCATCCATTATCTATACGCCGCTTAATCCTCACTGGGGTCATGGGGGGGGGTGGAGCCTATCCCAGCCGACTTAGGGCAAAGGCAGGGGACACCCTGGACAGGTCGCCAGTCTATTGCAGGGCTACACTTAGAGACAGACAACCAAGCACACTCACATTCACACCTACGGACAATTTAGAATCACCAATTAACCTCATCATGTTTTTGGACCTTGTGGGAGGAAGCCAGAGATCCCGGAGAGAAATGCCAAAACAGCTGCTAGGAATTATTTGCAGATGCACTTTAAGTAATATCTGTACGGGTAGTTGTACTTGTGAGAACATTTCCTGTACAAATAATGTTAGTCAGCGATTGTAAGAAGTCTGTTTCTTCTCCACAGAGTGTTCCTACTGTCCAATGGGACGCTGCTGATCACGCAGGTCAAGCCCAGGAACACCGGAGCCTACAAGTGTGTCGGCCGTGGCCTCAGAGGATCCCAGGTTACACTGGAGGCTTCCCTCCTCATAGCTGGTACACACTTACACACACACACATGCAAAATTGCAGTTGTCAAATTGGTGAGAGATAAACACCTGTGATTCTGTAATCTGAGAGTGAGCAGGGCATTCGGGTTACATATTTATCCTGCCCTGCATCTCTCTCTCTGCTCTGCCCTCCCTACTTCTTCTGGCTCTTTCACTTAGAGCCAGATCTCTCTGATGATAATCACATTCTCTTATTGACATCCGGCCCAGCTGTATCCACTACACACTCTGCACTGTTGCATTTTGCTGCTTCCCCTTTATATTATTTCCTCCAACAGTCCAGCTGTTTGCCAAGCTTGTTTTCCTCAACAAGCTTCCTCCAAAGGGAACAGCACGTGGCAGTCAGTGAATGAGCAGTAAAAGTGACAGTCGTGTCCATATAGCATAAATAGCTTTGTACTCCAGAGCCAACATCTTCTTTTTCTACCTTCCCAGAGTTTACGAACATATGCGGCCACCTAGACAAAAAACATCTTTTTTTTTTTTTTTTGGAGGAGGGTCTCTGGGTCGCTCGTGCCTTCACTGTCTCCTTTAAGTCAGCCAATTGTTTTTGCAGAATCATCACCCTGTTCGTAAATGAAACAGAAGCTTGTTCTGGCTATTTATCCCAAGCTATATGATATGTCAGACTTTTATCACAACAAGTGGCTATGTCCGTCTTATCATACATGATTCCAGTGTTGATATGTTGTCATGATAGTTTTTTCAGAGAAACCCATGCTTCATGCCCTGCCAGTGCTTTTCTGTCAGAGAAGAAGGCTGTGTGGGTACACGCCCTCAGATAACAAACCAAACAGGCTAGCAAGTGTAATTATGAGGTTTAAATAAGCTGAATGTCACTACACCTGCACCTGTGATGAACACCCAACGTTAATAGAGTTTTGTGTGCAAGAAATGACTATCAAATTTAAAACAAAACATCAGAACAACATCAAATAATACTTTGTGTTTTTTCATTAAAGAGCTTAATTATATATCTGTCAGCCAATATTGGCTTATTGTAGATAAGTCACTGTCTGCATATATGTTCACCAATATTAACTGCTATGAAATATCTTTCACGGATCATAATGCAGAAGATGCTTGCAGTAATTAAGAAGTGGTGTTATCACATAGTTTGTCCAGCAGAGTGCATTCTATCGTTAATGATAATCTAAGCACTATCTGCAGCACATGTAGCAGAGCATGCACAGCTGAGCAGACAGTGATGCGGAGCCAGCTGGTTTCTTCACTGTAGGCTGTTAACTAGTTTAAGAATTGCACTCCTGAAATGTATAAAAAAAGGACCCCATCATTTTCTTCTCCGCCTGCTACCTCTACGACCTGACCCCAGATAAGCAGAAGAAAATGGATGGATGGATGGATGGATGGATGGATTTTCTTCTTTCAAGTAACTAACATCTATACAGAGAGAATATCAGGCAATATATTGACATAAGAATTTGTTCGCTCGCTAAAATTGGCATCAGCCCCAGAAATTAAGTTTCAGTTAAAGGTTAGTTTCTGATGCATGCAGGGGAAATTATCTAATATGCAAGTCCAGACACATCGAAGCTGTTTTAATATCGTAGTTGACAGTGCCAGCTGTTTTTCTGTAACCATGTTTTCAAAGAACACCTTCTCCAACTATTTAATGGCTCCTTTAGGTCAAAGCTATGACAAGCTGTAGTGTCTTCTCATCTTACTAATCAGCCAACATTTTAAAATGCAAGTGCATGCAAGTCAAATATTTTTGAATAAGCTTAAGGCTGGAATTTCTATGCATTTCAATGTCCCAAGCATTTTTATTCCTCTCAAACGGCCCCTTTTCCCCAAGGGTTTTGGATTAACGAGGTACGACTGTATCTGCAGTTTTAACCCAGTGAACCACAGCTCCATTTAAATACCTTAATTCACTTAATCTGATGGTAATCCCTGCAGGCATTATAGGGGATTGTGTCACAGTAGAATTCAGTATTTAGGGACAAGTTTAAACAGTCACTTCATCATAGCTCCACCTCATTCACTTCACTGCCCTCCCCCTCCTGGCAGCTCAGCTTCTCTTTCATCTGCTGAGAAATGCGAGTTTTCTTCTGTTCTCATTAATTGATTTAGATCTTAGACTCGTAGAAGGTCGTAGCCACTGACCAGCTTTCAGAGCGCTGTTGGCCGATAAAGTATTAATGACTTCCATTTAGGACACACACAGTATTAAACTTCACAGTAGTGGGAGGTCTTGTGAGTCTTTGTAACATGGATCCTATTCCACTTTCTGTATAGGGGCTGCCAGGTCTGATATGACCCACCTACCACAGGCCTGAGTTAATTCCCAGAAGAACAACCTATATTCTCAGTGCGGCTACTGTGAGCTTTGTTCTATAATTACTGTTGCCTGCTCTTCAAATCAAAGGCCTTATCCTAACAAGACAGGAAATCTGTTAACAGAACTGTGAATTGGAATTAAGTGTGCACTCCTGCAATTCTAAATCCACAGTGCTTCACAGGCTTTGAATGCAGATTACTGATTAGTAGGGGTTTCGTGTGACTGGAAATCAATTACAGCATTCGAATAGACAGAAAAATTCTCTTGATCTCTCTGCTCTCCACCACAGAGATAGAAGACATGGTGCCCAAGGCGTCAAAGGTGTTCACAGCGGACACCCTGCAGCGGGTAGCCTGTCGAGCTCCTCGCGGCAGACCAGAGCCGGAGGTGTGGTGGGAGAGAGAAGGTCAGAGGGTGCCCACGGAGGGCAGAGTATACCAAGAGGAACTGGATTTGGTCTTCAGTCCAACAGAGGAAGGAGATTCAGGCATCTACACCTGCGTGGCCCAGAACAAGGCGGGACGCAGAACGCAGGAGGTCACCTTCACCGTGGCCAGTAAGTCACATGCAGATTTATTTTAAATGAATTTCAGTTTGATCGTCCTGAGGAGTACAACTACTTCAAAAATGTTCTCTTGTGGCTCTGATTTAGCTTTGGGAAGTTTTCAGTGTAACCCTGATAATATGAGCATTTCAGAGGCAGAAGAAGATCTTGTGTGAAAAGTCAGGAAACGTGGGATTGAGTGTTTTGGACTTAGAAGCACAAAATCTCAGCCTATGCTTAAGCAATTTGAACATTCTTTTTTTTCTATGTGAGTGAATCCTCAAACTTTACAGGTATGCAATAAAAAAATGCTTAAGTACCCCCTTTTAAACAGACAACTTTTTTTTTTAATTTGAAGAAATACACTGACTTTTTACAGAGACTGAACAACGTGAACATTTAGCCTTTAGAAAGTCATGTTGCTTTTTAAAAAATCGCCAAACTTACATTGTTTATTACAGAAAGAAACTGTTAAAACAGAAAGAAGTGACGGTCACTGAATTTATATGTGATCTTTGATTTTGTCAAGAAAAACAACCAAATCTAAGAATAGAGTACTCAAATTACATTTTTGGGTACCTTAAACGGGTCCTATTCGCTAAAATCTTGATTAAGAATCTAAACTTGGGAGGTGCAGCCTATGCAGGGTCACTTCCGAATTTGGATGAATTCTTTTTATCAAAATGATCATTTTAATAAACATTTATGTAGTTTGTAAAATGCAATAATTTGTTGTGTTTTTTCCATGACCGAAACCCCGGAAATAGTGTAATTGAGACCGCTAATGTGTTTGGGCTGAAAAGGTAAAGAAGTAAACTAAAAAGTCTAACTTACAGTATAGGCTATTACAGCACTTCATCATGTCACAGTAAGTAGGTTCCTTAATGTCAGGACCACAGTGGGAACACTGGGACCATCTACCAGATACACAGGGATTATTTATGGTGTCTATATTTAGACTGACCCAAGGGCCGAGAAAATTAACTCTGTGTATTCCTTCAGGGGACTGTTATGTAGCAGAGGAGTTATGTATACATAGTGTAAATGTGTGTTTCAGTGCTAAATAATGCGTTTGTGTGCCTACAGCTGCTCCAGTGTGGGTGACGAGACCTCAGGACAGCCATTTAGAAGAGGGTAAACCAGGTTACCTCCACTGTCACGCTCAGGCCAACCCTCAACCCGAGGTCACCTGGCTCCGCAACAACATCATGATCACACCTGAGGTACTAGACAGTGATGAAAACTCCCCTAATGTTTTGTAACATGACAGAATTTCCTTGTAAAAACCATTGTTTCCCCTCCAGGATTCTCGTTTTAAGATGTTCCCTAACGGCACCCTCAGGATCAACAATGTGGAGGTGTATGATGGACAGATTTACGGCTGTGAAACCAAGACCGTGGGCGGCCGACTGTCTGGCCAAGCTCGAGTCATTGTGCTCGGTAAGCTGCGAGGGAATCACTCATTTGAACAACGTATACAGTAGATTATACTTTCCTTAGTCAGATTTTATTTGAAATTATTCCCCAGACTGAAAGATAGCGTTCACTTAGTGAAATCATATGCAGTGTGTGATGAATAATACAGTTATGAGAAAGGATGAAAAAACAAATGTGTTCACGCCTGCAGGCCTGTGTGTGTGTGTGTGTGT